GTCCTGGTCTAGTCCTGGTCTTGTCTGGTCTCTCTGGTCCTTCTAGTGTTTGTCCTGGTTTTGTTCTGGTTTTGTCCTGGTCTAGTCCTGGTCTAACCCTGGTCTAGTCCTGGTTTTTGTCCTGGTTTTGTCTGGTTTTGTCCAGCCCTGGTCTAGTCCTGGTCCTAGTCCTGTTTTGTCCTGTCCTGGTCTAGTCTGTCCTGGTTTTCCTGGTTTTGTCCTGGTTTTGTCCTGGTTTTTGTCCTGGTTTGTCCTGGTAGTCCTGGTCTAGTCCTGGTCTAGTCCTGGTCTAGTCCTGGTTTTGTCCTGGTCTAGCCCTGGTCTAGTCCTGGTTTTGTCCTGGTTAGTCCTGGTTTTGTCCTGGTTTTGTTCTGGTTTTGTCCTGGTCTAGTCCTGGTCTAGTCCTGGTCTAGTCCTGGTCTAGTCCTGGTTTTGTCCTGGTTTTGTCCTGGTTTTGTCCTGGTCTAGTCCTGGTCTAGTCCTGGTTTTGTCCTGGTTTTGTCCTGGTCTAGTCCTGGTCTAGTCCTGGTTTTGTCCTGGTTTTGTCCTGGTCTAGTCCTGGTTTTGTCCTGGTCTAGTCCTGGTCTAGTCCTGGTCTAGTCCTGGTCTAGTCCGGGTTAGATTAAGGTGACCAGATTTTCTAAAACAAAAACTGTGACACTCTCGGTTTGTGGTGGTTTGTAATAAAAAAATAGTGAAACATGAGTCAGTAGAGTCACATTTTCTTTGTGTTTTGGTCATTTTTAAGCAAATTTTCTGTATTTTACCAAAACAAATGCCAGTTTATTTCTCTCTTTTCTGTCGGCAGGAATAAAATTGGTCAAAAATACAGACACTTGGAACATTTCTTGTATAAAACTGGGACAAATCTCGAGGTCAGACTTTGAGAAAACTTAACTTTAGTAGCAGATCCTCAGACAGAGCAGTGCCTCCAGTTAGCCTCACCCCCAGAGAATGTGGACGACAGAGTGTGATGTTGTGATGTTGTGATGTTGTGATGTTTTTTGATGTTTTTTGATGTTTTTTTCAGATCGAGGGCACGAAGAAGCTGCTGAACAAAGACCTGGGGGAGCTGATCACCAAGATGCGTTTGGCTCAGCAGAACTCAGTGACCACGCTGAAGGACGAGTGTGTGAGGAACATGCTCTCCGCCGCCCACACGCTCGCCCTCGACTCCAAGAACCTGCTGGACGCCGTGGACCAGGCCCGAGTCCGAGCCAACCTCGCCAGACCGAGACCAGAACCAGAACCAGACCGAGAACAGGACCAGGAACAGGACCAGGACTAAACCAGGACTGTGTGAGGAACATGCTCTCCGCCGCCCACACGCTCGCCCTCGACTCCAAGAACCTGCTGGACGCCCTGGACCAGGCCCGAGTCCGAGCCAACCTCGCAAGACCGAGACCAGACTCAGACCGGACCCAAGACTAGACCCAAGACTAGACCCAAGACTAGACCCAAGACTAAATAAACCAAAACTAAACAAGTACTGAACCAGGACTAAAGGAATGCAAATCTGCGACTAAAACAGGACTAAACGTTAGTCCCTTTTAGTCCTGGCTTAGTCCTGGTTTAGTTTATTAATCAGGCACTAGACCAGGACTAAACCAGGACTAACCTGGGACTACACTGGGACTAAACTGGGACTAAACCAGGACTAAACCAGGACTAAATGTTAATACCATACCACCTGGTTTAGTTTAGTAATCCAGCACTAAACCAGCACTATACTGGGACTAAACCAGGACTAAACCGAGCCTAAACTAGGACTAAACCGAGACTAAACCAAGACTAAACCAGGACTAAACTTAAATTGTGTAACAAACTGGAACAGACTGTTTATTTTTTTACCCGGGTCTGTTCGTCCCTGGAGATGTTTTTTGTGTCACTCGTGTTTCAGGAGTCCTGCACATCTCAAACACTTGTCCCACTGGATGATGTCATCGGGTGGTGCGTGTGTTTCTTCGTCTCGGTGTCACGCTGGCTGTGACACTCGCTCCGTTTGTGTCACCAGGTTTATTCACTTATAAAACAGACGAACTTTTAGATTGTTACTCAACAGAAACCTTTAAATATGTAATAAATGTACCATGGCTTGAACTGGATTCTTTTATTTTTACTACTACTACTACTACTACTACTACTACTACTACTACTACTACTACTACTACTAAAACTATTACTTCTACAACTACTACTTACATTTAGGAGCTTGTACAGGTGAGTGCCAAGTTTTAAGATGATCAAATGTCAAAATGTATGATATTTGCAGATAATTATTGAGACTGGTTTAGTCCTGATTTAGATCTGATTTAGACCTGGTTTAGACCTGGTTTAGTCCACTATTTTTATGTTTAATTTGGGTTTATTTTAGATCTAGTTCAGATTTGGTTTAGTCGTGGTTTAATCCTGGTTTAGACCTGGTTTAGACCTGGTTTAGACCTGGTTTAGACCTGGTTCAAACCTGGTTTAGACCTGGTTTAGACCTGGTTTAGACCTGGTTTAGATCTGGTTCAGACCTGGTGTTCCTGTTTTTGTCACTTTTAGCACCTGGAAAGAAAAAACTGACCCATAAAACATGACAAGAATCTGCCCTGAGGACCAGAGACCAGACCAGAGACCAGACTACAGACTAGACCAGAGACCAGGGACCAGACCGGAGACCAGACCAGAGACCAGACCAGAGACCAGACCAGACCAGACCAGAGACCAGACCAGACAGAGACCAGACCAGACCAGACCAGAGACCAGACCAGAGACCAGAGACCAGACCAGAGACAGAGCTGAGACCAGACCAGAGACCTGACTAGAGACTAGAACAGAGACCAGACCAGACCAGAGATCAGCCAGACCAGACCAGAGACCAGACCAGACCAGACAGACCAGACCAGACAGACCAGACCAGACCAGACAGACCAGACCAGAAGAGACCAGAGACCAGAGAATACCAGACCAGAGACCAGACAGAGACCAGACCAGACCAGACCAGAGACCAGACCAGACAGACCAGAGACAGAGACAGACAGACAGACCAGAGACCAGACCAGACAGACAGACCAGACCAGAGACCAGACCAGACCAGACCAGACCAGAGACCAGAAGACAGAGACCAGACCAGAGACCAGACTAGACCAGACCAGAGACCAGACCAGACCAGACCAGAGACAGAGACCAGACCACCAAAGACCAGACCAGGGACCAGACCAGACCAGACCAAAGACCAGACCAGAGACCAGACCAGAGACCAGACCAGAGACCTGACTAGAGACTAGAACAGAGACCAGACCAGACCAGAGATCAGGCCAGGAACCAGACCAGAGACCAGACCAGAGACCAGACCAGACCAGACCAGAGAGACCAGACCAGAGAGACCAGACCAGACCAGACCAGAGACCAGACCAGACCAGACCAGAGACCAGACAGACAGACAGAACAGAGACCAGAGACCAGACCAGAGACCAGACCAGGGACCAGACCAGGGACCAGACAAAAAAATATCAGTTTTTTATAGTTTTGTAATTTTAATGTTGTGACAATTAATTCCTCTTTTCTCGTCACGTTGATGTAAACATGGAACTTCTCTGAATGACACAATAGTTTGATGAGACTCTTACAAATAAAAGGAAAGTTTAAAGTGTCAGAAAAAGTCTTCTCTTGTGCCCAAACTGTTTCTGTTTGGAGTTTTCCTCTCGGTGACAGACGCAGAGAGATTTTACTATTTTTTGTTTTCTACTTTTTTCACAAACTGCTGCTTCACTGATGAATATTTAACCACAGATACTGTCGTGTTCAGTCTGGAATTTAAAAACCAGATTCTGTGAGAAGACGAGACAAGAGACAAAGGTGTTGAGTTACAGATAATTTAATCAAAAGAATCTTAGTTCCATGAATAAAACATGTCACTCTGCTTCTCCACAGACGAGTAAACGCCTCCAGACTCCCGGCACCGCCCCAACCTGCCCTGCCCACGCTTTATAAACACAAGACGAACGAGGAGGGACTAATCCAGGTCTAGGACTGCAGCAGGTCTACACCAGGACTAAACCAGGTCTGAAGCAAGAGACTCTTCACAGCACAAAGGTGAGGAACTAACAGTATTTTAAGAAATATCCCTTTGTTGTGTCACGTCCTGTTTGAAAGAAGAACCACGACTCTGACAGGTTCAGTTTGGTCTTGGTTTGGTCCTGGTTTGGTCCTGGATTAGACTCTGTGCCAGGTTTGTTTTGGTCCTGGTCTGGTCCTGGTTTGGTCCTGAGTTATGAGTTTTCTTACGCCAGTTCTGGTAGTTTTAGTTTGTTTTTAAAGATACAACATGTAACTTTCCCATCACCTGCTTGTCTTGTGATGTTACTGCTGTATTTTATTCACCCAAATATGTCCAGTCTGCCCCGGGGCAACTGTGGCATGAAGGAGTTTAAAGCCATACTTCGGAACATTCTCCATGGAGATAGATACAGTTTATGCCATAATGTGGAATATTATATTTCCATGGAAACAAGCAGGAAGAGACCTCCTCCAGGACAAGTCAGAGTCCAGAGATAAGTCCAAGACAACCGTTTGTCCTCAAAAAACCACAGACCCGTTTGTCCTCAAAAAACCACAGACCCGTTTGTCCTCAAAAAACCACAGACCCGTTTGTCCTCAAAAAACCACAGAACCGTTTGTCTTCAAAAAACCACAGAACCATTTGTCCTCAAAAAAAACACAGAACCGTTTGTCCTCAAAAAAACCTGCAGAGATCCGTTTGTTGTTAAAAAAAAACACAGACCTGTTTGTTCTCAAAAAAACGCAGAACCCTTTGTTCTAAAAAAAAAAAAAAAACCTGCAGAGACCCGTTTGTCCTCAAAAAAACACAGACCCATTTGTTCTCAAAAAAAAAAATACAGACCCATTTGTTCTAAAAAAAAAAAAAAACGCAGAACCCTTTGTTCTAAAAAAAAAACACAGACCCGTTTGTTCTTAAAAAAACAAAACAACAAAACAAAACACAGACCCGTTTG